CCCCCCCCCCCCCCCCCCCCCCCCTCCCCCCCCCCCCCCCCCCCCCCCCCCCCCCCCCCCCCCCCCCCCCCCCCCCCCCCCCCCCCCCCCCCCCCCCCCCCCCCCCCCCCCCCCCCCCCCCCCCCCCCCCCCCCCCCCCCCCCCCCCCCCCCCCCCCCCCCCCCCCCCCCCCCCCCCCCCCCCCCCCCCCCCCCCCCCCCCCCCCCCCCCCCCCCCCCCCCCCCCCCCCCCCCCCCCCCCCCCCCCCCCCCCCCCCCCCCCCCCCCCCCCCCCCCCCCCCCCCCCCCCCCCCCCCCCCCCCCCCCCCCCCCCCCCCCCCCCCCCCCCCCCCCCCCCCCCCCCCCCCCCCCCCCCCCCCCCCCCCCCCCCCCCCCCCCCCCCCCCCCCCCCCCCCCCCCCCCCCCCCCCCCCCCCCCCCCCCCCCCCCCCCCCCCCCCCCCCCCCCCCCCCCCCCCCCCCCCCCCCCCCCCCCCCCCCCCCCCCCCCCCCCCCCCCCCCCCCCCCCCCCCCCCCCCCCCCCCCCCCCCCCCCCCCCCCCTCCCCCCCCCCCCCCCCCCCCCCCCCCCCCCCCCCCCCCCCCCCCCCCCCCCCCCCCCCCCCCCCCCCCCCCCCCCCCCCCCCCCCCCCCCCCCCCCCCCCCCCCCCCCCCCCCCCCCCCCCCCCCCCCCCCCCCCCCCCCCCCCCCCCCCCCCCCCCCCCCCCCCCCCCCCCCCCCCCCCCCCCCCCCCCCCCCCCCCCCCCCCCCCCCCCCCCCCCCCCCCCCCCCCCCCCCCCCCCCCCCCCCCCCCCCCCCCCCCCCCCCCCCCCCCCCCCCCCCCCCCCCCCCCCCCCCCCCCCCCCCCCCCCCCCCCCCCCCCCCCCCCCCCCCCCCCCCCCCCCCCCCCCCCCCCCCCCCCCCCCCCCCCCCCCCCCCCCCCCCCCCCCCCCCCCCCCCCCCCCCCCCCACCCCCCCCCCCCCCCCCCCCCCCCCCCCCCCCCCCCCCCCCCCCCCCCCCCCCCCCCCCCCCCCCCCCCCCCCCCCCCCCCCCCCCCCCCCCCCCCCCCCCCCCCCCCCCCCCCCCCCCCCCCCCCCCCCCCCCCCCCCCCCCCCCCCCCCCCCCCCCCCCCCCCCCCCCCCCCCCCCCCCCCCCCCCCCCCCCCCCCCCCCCCCCCCCCCCCCCCCCCCCCCCCCCCCCACCCCCCCCCCCCCCCCCCCCCCCCCCCCCCCCCCCCCCCCCCCCCCCCCCCCCCCCCCCCCCCCCCCCCCCCCCCCCCCCCCCCCCCCCCCCCCCCCCCCCCCCCCCCCCCCCCCCCCCCCCCCCCCCCCCCCCCCCCCCCCCCCCCCCCCCCCCCCCCCCCCCCCCCCCCCCCCCCCCCCCCCCCCCCCCCCCCCCCCCCCCCCCCCCCCCCCCCCCCCCCCCCCCCCCCCCCCCCCCCCCCCCCCCCCCCCCCCCCCCCCCCCCCCCCCCCCCCCCCCCCCCCCCCCCCCCCCCCCCCCCCCCCCCCCCCCCCCCCCCCCCCCCCCCCCCCCCCCCCCCCCCCCCCCCCCCCCCCCCCCCCCCCCCCCCCCCCCCCCCCCCCCCCCCCCCCCCCCCCCCCCCCCCCCCCCCCCCCCCCCCCCCCCCCCCCCCCCCCCCCCCCCCCCCCCCCCCCCCCCCCCCCCCCCCCCCCCCCCCCCCCCCCCCCCCCCCCCCCCCCCCCCCCCCCCCCCCCCCCCCCCCCCCCCCCCCCCCCCCCCCCCCCCCCCCCCCCCCCCCCCCCCCCCCCCCCCCCCCCCCCCCCCCCCCCCCCCCCCCCCCCCCCCCCCCCACCCCCCCCCCCCCCCCCCCCCCCCCCCCCCCCCCCCCCCCCCCCCCCCCCCCCCCCCCCCCCCCTCCCCCCCCCCCCCCCCCCCCCCCCCCCCCCCCCCCCCCCCCCCCCCCCCCCCCCCCCCCCCCCCCCCCCCCCCCCCCCCCCCCCCCCCCCCCCCCCCCCCCCCCCCCCCCCCCCCCCCCCCCCCCCCCCCCCCCCCCCCCCCCCCCCCCCCCCCCCCCCCCCCCCCCCCCCCCCCACCCCCCCCCCCCCCCCCCCCCCCCCCCCCCCCCCCCCCCCCCCCCCCCCCCCCCCCCCCCACCCCCCCACCACCCCCCCCCCCCCCCCCCCCCCCCCCCCCCCCCCCCCCCCCCCCCCCCCCCCCCCCCCCCCCCCCCCCCCCCCCCCCCCCCCCCCCCCCCCCCCCCCCCCCCCCCCCCCCCCCCCCCCCCCCCCCCCCCCCCCCCCCCCCCCCCCCCCCCCCCCCCCCCCCCCCCCCCCCCCCCCCCCCCCCCCCCCCCCCCCCCCCCCCCCCCCCCCCCCCCCCCCCCCCCCCCCCCCCCCCCCCCCCCCCCCCCCCCCCCCCCCCCCCCCCCCCCCCCCCCCCCCCCCCCCCCCCCCCCCCCCCCCCCCCCCCCCCCCCCCCCCCCCCCCCCCCCCCCCCCCCCCCCCCCCCCCCCCCCCCCCCCCCCCCCCCCCCCCCCCCCCCCCCCCCCCCCCCCCCCCCCCCCCCCCCCCCCCCCCCCCCCCCCCCCCCCCCCCCCCCCCCCCCCCCCCCCCCCCCCCCCCCCCCCCCCCCCCCCCCCCCCCCCCCCCCCCCCCCCCCCCCCCCCCCCCCCCCCCCCCCCCCCCCCCCCCCCCCCCCCCCCCCCCCCCCCCCCCCCCCCCCCCCCCCCCCCCCCCCCCCCCCCCCCCCCCCCCCCCCCCCCCCCCCCCCCCCCCCCCCCCCCCCCCCCCCCCCCCCCCCCCCCCCCCCCCCCCCCCCCCCCCCCCCCCCCCCCCCCCCCCCCCCCCCCCCCCCCCCCCCCCCCCCCCCCCCCCCCCCCCCCCCCCCCCCCCCCCCCCCCCCCCCCCCCCCCCCCCCCCCCCCCCCCCCCCCCCCCCCCCCCCCCCCCCCCCCCCCCCCCCCCCCCCCCCCCCCCCCCCCCCCCCCCCCCCCCCCCCCCCCCCCCCCCCCCCCCCCCCCCCCCCCCCCCCCCCCCCCCCCCCCCCCCCCCCCCCCCCCCCCCCCCCCCCCCCCCCCCCCCCCCCACCCCCCCCCCCCCCCCCCCCCCCCCCCCCCCCCCCCCCCCCCCCCCCCCCCCCCCCCCCCCCCCCCCCCCCCCCCCCCCCCCCCCCCCCCCCCCCCCCCCCCCCCCCCCCCCCCCCCCCCCCCCCCCCCCCCCCCCCCCCCCCCCCCCCCCCCCCCCCCCCCCCCCCCCCCCCCCCCCCCCCCCCCCCCCCCCCCCCCCCCCCCCCCCCCCCCCCCCCCCCCCCCCCCCCCCCCCCCCCCCCCCCCCCCCCCCCCCCCCCCCCCCCCCCCCCCCCCCCCCCCCCCCCCCCCCCCCCCCCCCCCCCCCCCCCCCCCCCCCCCCCCCCCCCCCCCCCCCCCCCCCCCCCCCCCCCCCCCCCCCCCCCCCCCCCCCCCCCCCCCCCCCCCCCCCCCCCCCCCCCCCCCCCCCCCCCCCCCCCCCCCCCCCCCCCCCCCCCCCCCCCCCCCCCCCCCCCCCCCCCCCCCCCCCCCCCCCCCCCCCCCCCCCCCCCCCCCCCCCCCCCCCCCCCCCCCCCCCCCCCCCCCCCCCCCCCCCCCCCCCCCCCCCCCCACCCGAGAGAGACCAGAGTTGGACCTAGTATAACAAGATACCATAAGCACCAATATAGCGAAGGGTCCAAAGAAAAGGTAGGTGAGTCTAGTGAGAGTACAAGTGACCTGAATGATAGTAACTAATGAGACCAAAGTGAGAACATAGAGAGACATATAGGGAGTCCTGAGAGAGACATGGAGAGACACCAGAGACTCCAAAATGCCCTTGTGTTGCATGTGTTATCTGGAGAGCAGTGAGAACTTAGAGAGAGAACATAGAGTGAACAGAGAGACCCAGAGAGAGATAAAAGGGAACCAAGACAAACAGAAGTAGCTAGATTGAGACCATAGAGACCAGATAGACACCAAACACCTATAAACAGGAGAGATATCTGAGTAGCTTCAGTGAGTACTAAAGTCCAAGTGTAGACTATAGACATCAGAGAGAGCAGAGAAGCACAATGTAGAGCATGTGATGAATCTAGACATCCATAAGTACCAGACAGAGACCAGAGAGAGAACAGGGGGAGAACAAGAGAAATCTAGGAGAGATCCAAGAAGATACTAGGAGAACCAGATGAGTCAGAGAGTAGACGAGAGAGACTCCTGTTAGATCAAAGAGGTCGTTATGAACTGTAGACACCTGAGAGACCAGAGATAACTAGGATAGTAGCCAATGAGACACCCAAGAGAGACCAGACTGAGATCCAGAATGGTACAGAGTAGACCAATTGAGTGACCAAGAGTGGGAACAAAGGAGGCGACCTGGTTGACAAAGAAACTGAGTATCTAGCTAGAGAACAGAGAGAGACCTAGAGACACCATGAGACACCATGTAAAGCCATCAGAAAGCAAGCAGAGAGAGTAATCGAGACATCATAGAATGACATGACTGAAACCAGACTGTAGTATCCAAGTGAGACCTAAGGAGAGTCAAGTGACCAGGATGAGGACCATAAAGACCAGTAGAACAAAATGGAGACCTTTAAAATCTTGATTATAACACTGACCATAGCTGCGCAGGAAGAGTGTTATGTTCAGCTTAAAAGCTTTTGGAGTAGTGATAAATTGGGAATAGTCAGGGGTCGTTGAAACAGGCGGAACTAAACAGTTTAGAGTCCAAGTGTGGAGGAACGTCTAGTCGAGAATGGACATAGGCCCGGGCTTGCCATTATTAACACAGGTGGAGGTAGCGGCTCGTACTTGACCCGTGACTGTTTATCACTAGCAGGGTTAGACAGCTGATTGAAGCAACCTTAAATTCATTACCCATATTTCACCAGCATGAGTCCTGCAGGGGCGCAGGGAAAGGTTGGTACTGGTATCAATTCATTTCCGTGGTGGCAATTTCTGGCCAAAATCTTAATGTTTTTGGGTGAGGATCTAGATGTGATACAAAATAAACTGAGAATAGAGAGCTTAAGAATAAGACCAGAGAGAGAGAGAGACCAAAGACCATCCAGAAAGAGACCAATACAGAGACTACAGAGAGCCTAGATTTTACCAGAAAGAGAAGACGAGAGAAAGCGACCTAGTGATTTATTCCAGAAAGAGACTTGTGATTTTAGACAAATGGAGATACTTGAGTATGAGACCAAAGAAATACTCTGAAAGAGACCAGAGAGAGACCTAATGAGAGACCAGAGGGAGAGACAGAGTGAGAGTCCTGAGAGAGAGAACAAATATAACAAGAAAAGACCAAGAGAGTCCAATTTGGGGGGGTTGAACCTAAAGGTTTATCCAAAGAGTGACCAGTGATTAACCATAGTATATACAAAGAAATTCCTAAAAGGACTAGATTGGATTTTGTGCTCCAAACAGTACCTATCTACTACATATGTCCTATCTCCATGAAAATATTAAAATCACGGAAAACCCCCCCCCGCAGTGATTGGTGTGGTGCGTGGGATTTCATCACAAAGCGGGCGATCTTGCTGCAGCCGCTACTGGCCGTATGAGGGTAGTCACCAAATACAACGGTCCTTTTTACTAGCTCTGTTAGTTGAAGAGGTATCTGATCTCTTGCGTTTCTACAACCCTTATAGCTGGATTATAGCTAAGGGATGATGATATTGAGGATGTTGGATTTGGGTGACGGGAATTTTATGATTACTTGCCGGCGGAAGTCTGGCGTTGGCTGTAATTGTGGGTTCAGTATTGGCCATCAGGGCAGATAGGGAAACAGCGTCGCGTTCACGCAAGCTGCGGAAGGAGTCGCTGGCTTGCCGCACCTTCCTACGGTCGTTTACATGGAAGTCTACAGAGCCTGATGGGAGGGACCAATCTGCATCCACAAAACGGCACTAAGGGACTTGCATTTAGCATTGTCCAGTTTGCTTGCGGCAATGGGGTTGGCTGCTCGGTCCGTGTCGCTGTTTATGATTGTTTGTACTCACATGATCTCTTACTTTCCGGTCGTGTGTATATTAAATGGAGCCACTGCATTGTATTGTCTCTTTTGCCTTTATAAGTGGTGTGGGAGAATCGTGTTTTCAGATACGAGGAACTTTGATACAATTACGGTGGTGGGATTTGCTTCTGGTTAGTGTGCACAAGAAGTGCATGAATTCGGGGTAGACCGTCATACGGAGTGATAGGATCGTGCCATACGAAATACATGGCATATATTCAGGTGTGGCAGGTGATAATATGGATGAGGAGACGTGATCTAAAGCGTGTCTTGAGAGTTCGAATAGGGACAAGAGATTTTTGAGTAGATCTATTGATAAGTCCAGTAGAGTACCAATGAGTGATTGAAGAGGACGAAAAAGAGATCACAGAGTGAGAGAAAAGCTTGATGTCCAGAGAGTGGACGAATAAGGTCCTCCGTTTCCTTCCCTGTACTAATTTTTGTTTTGTTTTGTCCGGTAAAAGGATTGGGGCAGATTGATGGTATAGGCTTCATGCATTCAGGTACTTAGAGATGACCTGTGAGAGTCATGAATGATTGTCCAGTGAGAAGCTGCATGTCTGACAGAGAGAGAACTGAAGATCAAGGTGACCTAGTGGGTTTCTTGTTATGTGCAGATGAGAGTGGAGAGACCCTAGGTGTGTCTTGTCTCCTGGTAAGAGACCTGTGGTATAATCCATAGATCCAAGGAGACCAGAGAGTTTGTCCAGTATAAAAAAGGTGTCCTCAGCACTGAGAGATTGAGACCATAAAAGTCAGAGAAAAGATAAGATATACCTTGAATTCCTGTAATGTTAGGCCTCTTAAAGTAGTATGAGGTTCTCCTCGAATTGCTGGCAATTCACTTCAGAATCGTCTGGGATGATTTCAGGAGGTGATTTAATTATCTGCGTTGCTAATGTTAGTTCTCTGTCCGACTTAGCAATCAAACTGATTAATTACTCTGAAATAACCAATGTACAAATAGTCTGGGGGGCGACCTGGGTCCATGGCGGTCCCGGGAGGTGACTCCTGGTGGGTTCCATAACCTGAGATTCCACTCACGTCATGGGGACTGGTTTTACGTGGTGGGGCCCGAACACCGGGACCCCACTGGTCCAAGCTTAATAATCAATGGGTAATGCTTTCTAACGGTCCTTATGCAGTCTCTGTAAAAATATGGAAAGGACCCCTGGAGGTTTACTTTCCTGAAAAAAGTGTGTTATGTGTCGGAACCCTGGTGGTGGGTTGCGGGATATCAAGGAGGGGCACACTGGGGCAATTTCAGTCCAGCAGGCTGGAGCCAATCTGGAGCAGCACTACAAGGAAATCAGGTGTCCTAGAGATAAAGGGTGGCATGTGGGTGTGCAGTAGGCTGCAAGAAATCTTGGTGGAGCTACACTGATGCGCTCTGCTTTCAAACCAACGGATCTGCTGACGTTCATGTCTGGAATCAAATTGTGTGATAATGGTGGACAATGATGGTGGGTTGGTGGGGCTGAGTAGGCTAGTACCCCTAAGTGTAGGATTCGACTCTGATGCTTGTCGTGTGAACTGTCAAGAAGAAACCGTAAAAAAGAAAATCAAAAACACTTTTCCTTCAAACTCGGATAGTGACAACCAATATGGCTAATAAGTTGGTGTTCAGGCAGCGGCTTATAGATGAATAAGGGGGGGGCGAGGGACTGCAAGTGTCACGGCGGCTCTACTGTTTCAATTGTCCTGCCTCATATGTCCCCGTTCTTGGTCTAAATCCTGGTTATTAATAGGGTCTTCCTGAGCTTGGGGAGCTTCCTGGGATATTCGATTCACGGTAAACTTCATGGGTTTAATTTGATCGAATATAAACCCTTGCACATGTTGGAGGTTTTAAAGCCGCATGTTATGGATGGCCCAGCGTAAACACCATTTGCCCCAGTTAATCCTTGAGTTTTGCTCTTTTTGACTGTGGCTGTGCGAACGAAAGTCCGCTGGGGGGTGAGGGCTAGGGCAGTGCGGCTTTCACAGAAAAGTATGCCCAGGCTAAACCAGGTAGAAGGAGGGGTCCAGTCCCCTGGCTGCCCTAGCCCATCCTGTACCGAGGCGGGCATCAGGCTAATAGCATGTGGTCTTGTATTCACGCGGCATTGCAGCAGGCAGGTCGGTCACGGGTGTTGTCTAAGCTGCATAAGGGATTCTGAGACTCGGAGAGCACCTGCTACGTATATCAACGGGCTTATAAGACTAAGCAATGTTTGACAGTTAGGCAGAATATGAGAGGTTGGTCGGGTAGGGTAATTAACGAAGCAAAAAACCGGCAGGGAATCTGAAAAAACATTTTTGGATGTCTGTAGGCCTTCCTAACTTGAACCCATGTGAGTGATGCCTAGGCAGGTCTGAGGCTGGAGATGAGGAGGATATCTCAATCAGACTAGACGCTCCTTCCCTTGGCCCGCAACTCGGCCATAAGCCTCAGATTGCTAGCAGGATATGCGTGAATGTGTACGCAAAAATGGGAGATTGTGTTGATGTGAATCTAGTTATGTAATTCCTCACATCGAAGCCGGCTGCTGGTTGAGAGTAGCAGGGGGGACGGCTGTGGTTGCTTCTGCGGCCCTACTAGATCCCTCGGCGCATAGCCAAGGTCGGAACTCACCTCCGGCACCTGCTCCCTCGGACTGAGGTACGCTCAGAGCCATCGCATGCACTTTTTGAGTGTATCCCGTCGCCTGATTCTGTGGCAAATCCCTTTGTAAGTGAGCCATCGGCTATAAGCATTGGTCGCACAACTGGCATGTTGGTCGCTGTGGTGAGGTCATGGTCATTTTCAATCGAAGAAGGGATGGTTGTGGCATTTCAAAGATGCCACTGACAGCGGGTGATCCGTAAGAATGTATGACGGTCCAGTCTTCTTTGGCCGGGACGGTCCGAAAGTGATAAAATGCTGGGTCAGCAGTTTCATCGCATTGAAAGGTAATGGGATAAAGGATGTCGGAAATGCCGTTTCTGTTTGACGCTGTAATGGTTTGCGTGTCAGGTTGAGTGCGGGTGGAGGAAAAAAGGCCGTTCCTGCTCGGATCCATTTCCCTGATATCGTTTCCCCGCCCCGCAATTCACCCTAATCAGGGATCTGACTCACTATCCCATAGCCAAAGAATGTGGTGCGTGCTTCCTAGAATCTATCCTCAACCAATCTAAAAGCACATCTGCGTCGATGTCTTCAGTTCCAAGATGAAAGTGAAGGAAAAGGGGGACTGACGACCAACTGCCGGGCCCATGGACATTCCATCCCAGACCATTTATTAAAGACGACCTTAGGTACTGACGGGCCAAATCAGCAAAGGGTGATGCCAATGGTACAGGGTAGTGGTCGAATCTAAAAAGAGCCTCGCAATATGACTATTTGAGTCCCCGGATGTAATGCTGGAGATAGTTAAATGATGGATGATGTTTTCCCCGATAGCACTTGTTATTTTTATTTTGTCGTGCGACAGGAGATAGAAGAGAAGCTCTTCCCTATACGTCGGCGTAAAGAAAGGTCATAGCATGACCTGCTCCATGCATCCAGAGCACCCCATGGTAGTGGCTGTGCCCCTGATCGGTTATGTGGGTCCTGGGGGATCTACAGTCAGCGCTGGGTCCTATCCCGGAGTGGTTTTATGCGATATTAGATTTTTATTGCTCGCCCTAGTACGGTTAGGAAAGCCATTGCTGGAGCGGAGGTGAATGGCGGGGAGAAATACCAGGACTCTTTCTACAGACTGAAATGGCCCTGGGAAGTCTCACTGGCCGGGCCGCAGTATTCCCTCTCCTATGTCCTGATACTTGGGACATGATGTGCAGGTTTTTCTAGGTCAAAATAGTATTATAGCAATTTCGAAATTAAAGCGATTTGATTATGCCTGGATTAGTGTGTGTGTGTTTCTATTGTCTGTTGTGTATTACGTTAAATGTGGCCCTTTTAAATAAGATTATTTCTTTGTCCCTTTCGGACGGCCCGGTCAAAGGACACTACCGGTAACAATATCGGTAGGTTATGTATGTTATTGTTTTGTTGTGTGAGCTGCTCGGGCCCAAGTCCTGGGGCGTGACCTGCTATGTTCTCCCTGAGGTTGCGTGACTTAGCTCCCCCCTCCTCCCCCCGCACTTCCCCCCTCGCTCCCCCTGTGTATCCCGGGGACATCGCGCTCCACCTTCTGTCACCTCCGCTAGGTGATTGATCTTATCAAGGAGCCGGGGGGGCACTTCGACCAACTATATACTCGTTTCTTCTAGAACTAGCTTGAGGATGTAATCTTTGACTGTGTTTTGTCATCTAGTGCGCACGTGCATGACATGAAGATCAAGGCATTCTCCGCAAGACGTGTGATACTTGGCGCGGCTGGCTACGTTTGCGTTGCGTGACCTTCGAAATCATTGAGTTATACGGGGCCGCTTCCCCTTAATTGAGGAGGTATGGGGGAATCCCACACAAATCCACATGAGGCGTTCTCTCAGAGCGGCCCATTTACCGGCGTACTTTGTCCTTTTTCAGATACAATATTTGCAAACATAGTGGTTTATGGCTCAGTCGCTAGGAAGTTGTGGGGATATTATGATTCATTATGTTTTTTTATGTCAGGTCAACTGTGATGCTGGGTTTTAAGACTCAGTTCTTGGTTGGGTAACAGAGTTTGTATTATAATAGGGTTTCAGCACTAACAGCTAAACTATAATTTTATTTATTATCGAGACAAACATGATCGTTTTTACGAGTGCCAGGAGGAAACAACTTTACGCAGCGTACGATTCAAACTAAGAATCAGGATCAGTCAATTACAAACGACTGCACAGTTGTTAATGTGAGATAGGTTATATATATTTATGATCAGGGTTCCTAAGTTTTTTTTGACCCGCGACCCCCAGCATATAATGTGCGCTGCTACCCCGCGACCCCCCACCTCATCCAGGGTCCTTCACGTCTATGAGCGTGTATCCGTATACGGAGGTTACGCAGAATGGGGACCTCGCCCCCCCGCCTCTACTGAGCTGCACTGTCCAGCCATATAAAGGATGGCTGGCGTATTGTGTCTCCTCCGAGTGACACAGTGTGGGGCTTGGGGGCGCCCTCATCACAGAAGGGGAGCGCAGTTCTTGCGGCTCGCCCGCTCTGGTCGCATTCCCGCGGTAAAGGCCCGCGGTTCGTGTCAGCGGAAACTAGGGCAGAATTAAAAAGCGAGCAGGCCGCGTCTCTGGTATCGGGATTGCGAGTCACCCCGCGCTTCGGTGCCAAAGGTAATGTTTAGCAACAGGCATCATTGCAGCCACCCCTTGTAAGTCGGTACCTCTTGATCAATCAATCATTCTTTCAAGCTGTTATTTATAGGGCGCTTTACTGCACAGGCAACACAAAGCCCTCCTCAGTCCCTCTCACAATATGCACAATGCAGCACATGAAAGTACAATTAAAAACTCAGTATTTGTAAAATGCATTAAACTCAGATTATATGTAATTAACAGAATGATGCACAATCTAGGTAGTTAAAACAATTATATAATTATAATACTAATGGGTCATTACTTTAATGTACTTGGAGGGGTTAAAATAGATAAAATTCGCTAGTTGTATGCACAGGAAAAAGAAAAGTCTTTAACTGATTGGAACATTGACAGAGAGGAAGCCATCTCACATCCTCAGGATGACTGTGTCCAGACTTTTGCGGCATAAATCGAAAAGCAGCCTTCCCCATGTCCTTAGCCTGTAAGCGGGGGCACGATCTATCCCGCGGCCGCCTCAGTGGCCGGCGGGTTCAGAGGGACGAGCAATATCTTGGTGGGTACTGTGTGCTAGGCCTAGGGAAAGACGTGTTCCTCCAGGAGTGCTCGTGGAAATGTCCTAGCCTCTGGCCCGGTAGCCTGGCATGACCTGAGTCCGGACTAATGGGTCTACTTCCCATGGTGCGTGTCAGGACCGGGGGCTGCACATTGTGAATTGACTGCAGCTGGTGGTACGGCATGGGGTTGGTGTATAACTGGAGCAGCCAGGGCTTTATCCACCTACGGAACATAAGATTTGATTAGATCTCCTCGTCTGCCCGACAATTAGGGGTTAGTGGGCAAGTATGGTTCAGATGATTAAAACTGCTGATGTTACCTATTCCAAGTGGGCGAGTGTTTAAGGATGAGTCCATTATTACTCCAGATGTCTGTCCTGTTTGAATGGCCGTAGGGTAGCTTTCGGAAGGTATCTAGTTTCTGTGACTTTGTGCCGCCTAGCTCCATCTCTATAATGCCGGGCTGCGTGTTGTACCTAATCCGCGGTGGGCTTAACCACATCACCAACCTGGCCTCTGTCGCTGCATAGATCGCATGGTCAACGGGTCGAAAGCGGCTCTCATGCTTTCTGTCTTATAATCTGAGACTGCCGGCTGCTGTGTTAAGCCGTTTATCTGTTGGTTATCCGGACGTGAGGCGGGCGCAGGACGGGGGGGGGTCGAAACCATACTGAATACATGTCCATATGAGTCTAGAGATAGTAAAAAGTCTTTAGTTGGGGGTTATGCAACTTTTGCAAGAAGTTGCCCATGAAGGCAATTAGATGGGACGTAATTTTCATAGGACCGCAGCTTCCATACTGCCGTTTGTATGAGGGCCGAGACGGCCTGTGCCTGGCCTGTGGATAGGCGCAGTTATAAATGTCTGTTGTACGTTGTGTGTCATTGTGTTAAGAGACTACACTTATCTACGTCAGATTTCTAGAGGGATGTATCTCCCATCTCAGTTAGGGAACGATACCGGGAGTTTCGGGGTAACAGTTTCAGCATGACAGTCGAAATTGATCTAGCTCCACAAAGGCCTCTCGGGATGGTGCATGGGGACTTGGTTGGAGAGGTTGGTATTTTCTGTTACACTGATCAGGTCTTCTTTAGAACTGGGCCTAACGCATTGACTCCGGAGTGGAGATGTGTCGTACAGGGCAAGCCCGCTCAGGGGGGGCGTAATCGTTGGATTGTGGAAATTAGATCACGCTGTATGGTTGCGGTGCTTCAATAGGGGCTAATATGTGTATTCGCTTGTTCGAACGAGTTAGCTGTAAACTCACTACTACGTCTCGTTATTGTAGTGGTAAATCTCCCGGAGGGGTGACGCGCCACGTTCTCTCGCTTCTCCCACGCTTGCTTCGTCCCTGAACGGCCTGCGTTTCCAGGGGACGTTTGCTGATGGTGACCTTTGTACCTTCTCTGGGAAATGAGCCATACATGCAAAACACGTATATGGACTAGTTATTCAGTTCCATCTGTCAGTATACATGATGTGTGTTCTAAATGGTTCATTCCCATAAATTGTGCTCCCGTTGGGACATTTTATGGCTTGCGTTCTATGTCTAGAGGAGCGGGGGTCCGGGACAATTGACATGGAAAAATTTCACAGATTTGTAGCCCTCAGAGCTACAGAAACTACAGAACTTTTTGTAAAGATTCTCCCAGTGGCGGGGAGAAGCAGGGTCCTGGGTTGTCCTACTGCTTGGGGGGGCCACGCACATCGGATGTGCCTAAGATTCTGTTGGGAATACGCTGGCTCGTGCGTTTGATTTCGGTCATTAACATTATCCACATGTTTTGGATATAGCGGCCGTGTATAATCTATCCATCTAAATGCTTGCTAACTACTGTTTCAACGCAGGAATTGAGCATGTATTCGTGGGGCATACTGGGGCGGCGGGTACTACTTCTTTTTTTAATGTGATTAGATGAGTTGCGGTGGGCGATTGGAATTAACAACGCTAATGATGATAATGTCACATGAACTACTCTAGGGGTTCTTAGACGAAGCGTAAATAACTGCGGCTAGCCCCCCCCCCACCTGCAGGGTGGGCCCTGTTAACCCACCTACTACACGTAAAAGCCGGCCGCTTTATAGCACCCCTCTGCGACCGCTGCCTCTCTCCCTCCACGGCCGTCGCCACTCCCTGCCCTCCGCCCGCTCTTTCGCACCATCAGCCGGATCCGCATTCAGTTTATACGTGTCTCCCCCGACCGGGGGGTTGCTGGGTGGAAGATTTCCCTAGGTCTGGTTAAAGCTGTATGATATTTGTTGATTGCCGCCAATCTCCTTGTGGTTGAGCTAACATCACTTCTCGCTTGGGCGCGGCTGTACGGATCTCGTAATGGTTGTGTATTTGTCGCTGCTAGGACGACTTTATGTAACAATCGAATGGAATTATGGAGATTCTCCTATCATCATTGTATCAAGTGTCCCCTTGTTGAAGCAAATCTAAGTGCTATAAGCAATTTGTAAGGCTTATTAATTAGCAAAATGTTTTTTTTTTTTTTTATTGGAATCATCTTGCGAACCCCCCCCTGGGTCCCGCACCCCCGGGGGTCGGGACCCACTACGTGGGGAACCTCTGGTTGGTAGATAGTCCACAGCTCCTGTATAGCAGCTCGAGCCATAACTGCTGGGCCTTCGATGCCAAAGCTCCTGCTCCATAGGCCTCGCCAGGTCCCTGCGGCTGCCCGCCTGCTGCGTCCATTACTCTCCACACGGACCAATTCACAGCGTCTTCCTTGCGGCGACCTGACGTATGAGAAAATTTCGATGCTTGCGCGGCAGCGACGTTAGGCCTGGCGGGACCAATAGCTGGCACAATGACGTCACTCTCCCCTTAGCTCCCGCCGGCGCGTGATTATCTAGCTGGAAAGGAAAGTTGCTTTGTCTATTAAATATATAGAAGTATACTTTGTTTTGTAGAATAAAATGGGGTTTCCAGATGCTTCTTTAGGAGTGATTGATGACTTTTCCCTAACCAATGTGTACCTAGTAGAGATCCAGGTGGTGACAGAGAAAGTAGTGAAGGGGACCAAGTAGACCCTGAGAGTGGGTCCAAGGGAGATGGAGGAGGAGATATCCAGGGAAAGCCCTTAAAGACCCACAAGTGAGACATTGGAGACCCATATCCGGGGTGCTCGGTAGGGATATACCTTAATATTGATGGATGAGTTACCGTAGAGACCAGTGAGACACTTAATAGCACCTGCTTAATTAATATATAGACCTGAGTTGATAATGTGTCGCAGAGAGTTTCAGCTGTTTTTGTCTGGGATGGTTGCCGAAGACCACAGAGTACTACGAGAACTCATACTTTTTACAGGACTAGCGCTAGTTTCCGGAATAATGTCCCATGATCTGACATGCAGCAAAAAA